CCGCTTCAGTGAAGTTGCTGTCCTGGGACGAAGCGAAGGGAAAGAGCAGACCTTCAAGCTCCTTCACGGACGGGCTGCCTCCTCTCCTCTCCTCTCTCTGAGGCAGCCGGCTTCTCCCGCTTTCCCTCCAGCTGCCTTTCTTAGGTAGGAAGCGCGCTGCCTGCTTTGCGCCGGGCCAGTCAGTGGCAGCCAATCAGAGCGGGCTCCCCGCCGGGCGCCTTCCTCCGCTCCAGAGGGGGAAACGGCGGAGGAAGAATAATCCGTGGGGATTCGCAGAGCAATTCGGCCACGAGGGAAACCAGGCGCTTCCCCGGCTTGCGCTACGGTACGCTGCGGGGTTGCGCGCGCGAGCGAGCGCTCTCTCTCTCTGGAGAGAAGGAAAAGGCGCCTGTTCGGAAGCCTCTCTTCTCTTTATATCACGATGCGGAGGCGGGGGGAGCGAGGCAGCTGCCCCACCTGCGGCGCAAGAAAGGACTCCGCGGAGTTTTCTGCGTTTCCCTTCGCGCTCGTGGAAGCACGCGGGCGACCGCGCAGCCAAGTCTCGTGGAAGCGCCTCTGCCTCCTCCGCACGCCGCGGGTCAAACCGTGTCGTGGCAACAGGTGCTGCTGATCTCGCCTAGGGCTTCCCAAGCGGCGGCCGGCGTGGGAATGCGCGCGCTTTCCAGTCAACCGCAGACACCTGGCCGCCGAGTCCCTCCAGCCGGGAGTTGCTTCTCGGTCCCAGGCCTGCGCTTTAATTGGCTGCAGAGCCGGAGGACAGGCAGCAGGAGGGGCTGCTTCTCTCAGCAGCGCGGTACTGCGAGCCCAGAGAAAGCCGAACTTTTTCCTGCCCTGCAGGTGTACCCCCAAAGTAATGGGGAATCTTCAGGACAAGGAAGGACTAGGGAGTAAACCCAACACAAATCCGGAGTGGAGTCCCTAAAGTGGTTGGATGGCACCTTGTATGCCTCCTGTCAACTCCCGTAGCCAAGCTGGTGCCAAGCGTATTGCTCTGCTTTCCTTTGGACCACATCAGTGAGCCCAAGAGGGAAGTCTTGTCCCTGGGCAGCCCAGGACCTCCATACACACTGCCCAGGCTTGTGCCCCAGGAAGCTCACTTTGCTGCTGCTAACACAGCGGTTTGATTTCACCCCAGAGGTGCACTCCATTGTCTTTTGAGAAGGGCAAAACTAGGTTTTATTTCACCCAGGAGCCTCTATGGCACCCCTCTGGAGGCTTCATCCGGGGCAAAAAAGCCAGCTAGCCGCCCCCATAGCTACAGTACTGCTTTTGAGACAGACAGATGCCAGCAACAAGGGGCTCTTTACTTTAGGCTACAGCCTAAAATAGGTTGGGGGATCTGCGGTCTTCCAGACGTTCCTGGCCTGTAGCTCAATGGAAGAGCACCTGCTGCACATGCAAAAAATGTCCCATGTCCAACCTCAAGTGTCTCCTGGCGACAGGCCACTTCCTGAAAGGTCAGAGAGCATCTGTCCATCAGTGTAGACAATACTGAGCTAAATCGAGCAATGGTCTGTCTCACTCTGATGCAGCTTCCCATGTTCCTTTTGGCCATGCTGGCTGGTGCTGATGGAAGTTGGAGCCCAACAATATCTGGAGGGGTTCAGAATCGCCATCGGGCCTAAAGGAGACAAAAGAATAGCATGGGAGGTCAGGTTTTGGCAGTTCACAGACGTACCTGCTGGGATTAATATTATTTTGCCATAGGAATTATATATGGTAATGGTGTTGTCATGGAAAGTTTTTTCCTTAACTGAAAGCCAAGGGCTATAGCAAACTGTGTCCCAACCAACAATTAAACAAAAGGAGAGTTCAGATTATAACGGCTTTTTCATGTCTGTTTTCTGAGATAAAGCTCTTCGGTTAACAACCATGATTTGCATGGTTTGGTGTAACATGGGCATCTTGGCAGGGCACACTCTGCTCCTAAGAAGATGCACAGTTATCTCCTTAAGCAAGAAGAAGCACCTCTAAGACACATGTTTGAAGAGAGACACGTGCTTTGACACCTGCTTTATAGAGCAGTGGCTCCCTGCCAAGGTATAAATATGTACAGCTTGGAACTCTGCCTTTATATCTCAATTCACTGAGCACATCACTATAATTTTGCATTACTCAGTTCCTTCTTCTAAGGGTGTTGACTCTCTTGTCCTTTTGGACCACATGCACCCACGCTTGCAGGCTCCTTGTTTCTGCTTGTTGATGCACCTACCCAGTTTTATAATGGTACGTAGCACCCTGGGAGACTCTTTGGTCACAAGCTTCTGCCTCTACATCAGGAACAGAAACTTGTAGCCTTCCAGCTATTGCTGGACTCAGCTCCCATCTGCCCCAGCCAACAAGGCAAATGGTCAAGGATGATAGCTGTAGTCAAGGATGATAGCTGTAGTCATATGTAGACCCACTGGTTCCCTGTCCCTGCTCTACATGATCTCTAGAACTGAGGCAAATTATCTGGTGGATTAGAAACTCTGGTGTGTTCTCAGTATTTGTGGCTCACCGCAAGCCAATATTCTGCTAGGAGTCTTTCCTACATCATGATCCTAGCCAAATTTACCTGGAAGACAATCCATTTAAATAAGACTTATTTTCTGATAAGTACACTTCAATTTTCAGCTTTGGGGTGTAATGTTCTGTACCCCTTCCACTGAATGCCTTAGGTGTAAGTATATGTAAAATAAACCATATTTCTTAAAGTAACTATTCTCCACTGTGCCTTGATTTCCCCAACCAAAACACGACCCTGGTGAGTGCCTGGAACCCCCTGGAATCTTGCTACCGCTCAGCAGAGCTTGCAGGTGGCATGTAACAATATAAATTAGCACAAAGGTTTTATTCACATCTGTGCTACCTTTTGCCATCTTTCTTTGGTGACATGTAAATAATCATTCTAGGATACAGTCAGGTTAGCAATCAGAATGCAGCCTTATCTGAATGACATGGGAACTACATGGGTAGTAGAATGTCTGTTAAGAGGAACCTTATAGGCCAGGACACTGGTGTAGCTGTTGTGCATGAACTTGCATTGTTATACATAGTTTCTACATGTCATCACAAACACCCAAAAAAGACGTAGCCAGTGACCTCACTGCAATGGGAAAATGTCCCCAGCACACACGTAGCAGCACTGCACACACACACAAACACACACACACACACAGAGAGAGAGAGCATGCAAGACAACACCATAGCATCTCTACTCCATCTGATATTGCCCCCGTGCCGCACACCCTGTCATCTCGCTTCCTGATATACTGGTGGTGCTGTGCTGTGATTGTGTGTTGAGTTCTGTCCTATCTTAAGCACTGCCAAGGGGGACGGGGTAGGATGTGATCTGAGACTACTTAATCCCCCCCCCCCTTCCATTGAATTCAGTGGGAGAGGAATTCCTTGCACCAGGTTGAGGATGGGTGTAAAGTTCTGCCATCAATGGTGGGTGGCAAAGGATTGAAGGTGCACAGGATTTGACATAAGTGTACTCCTCCATGCCACCTACCCCACCCAACTCTGCATCCCATTTTGGCTGCTCTGCTGGTCTATTGGGCGAGTTCTGCTGATGTATCTCTATGTTGACAGCATATCATAAGTTTTGCCCATATAGCAGAGCTTCTCCCAGATCGTACAGCCACTCAGCCTGCAGATACCAAATTGCACCCCAAGTTGCTTGTTGGCTGTAGTTGCAGTGGTTGATCAAAGAGAATGCCATTTCTGGGCACTCAATGCATACGAGATGCTTGTGGCTTCCTTTCACTGTTTATTTGAGTGAATACATTTGTATCAGTGTGTGCTTGCCACTTTTGTGATACAGACTTCCTGTTTCACCTGATCCAACTATTGTGGGCTTCCCAGAGACATCTTGTTGGCCCCCATGGGAAGCAGGGTGCTGGATCTTTGGTCTGACCCAGCTAGATACTTCATTTGTTCTTACTGATACATTTTTTACAAAGATGTACTATGCAGTCTGTTTTTTAAGGTTATGGGCGCAGAAACATAAAATGAATGTATAAGTATCTTTTTCAAGGATTTTGCTTAAAATCAACTTGTTTAATTAGGCTACTATTTCAGGCAACTAAAAAGCAATTGATGCCTGTTAAAGCTGACCCAATTGAGCACATGTGGTTTGGAAAAGTATAGGAATGAGGAAGGGAAAACATCTCCACTGGCATTTTGGCTGCAAAATGTTGTCTAGAGGGAATATTCCGAATGGGATATTAATCTGAGCTGCCTGATTTGTGTCAGGCAAGAGCTAATGTTGCACTTAAGAGGATGGGAACGGGAACCAGGATGTCCTTGAATCAAATCCCACTTCAGTCATACACAATATTTGCCTACAGATACGTTGCCTACAGATTACAGAGTTGGTGCATGCTTTGAGTACAAAGCATTATATCTATATAAAACTACTGTAATAGTCTCTATTGTCCTTTTGGTTCCTCCTAAAGATATTTCTCTTGCAACAGGCCTTGTAAATGGAGATCTTTATACCATACCCATATTAGACTGCAATACCTCAAGGACTGCCTCTCCCCATATAAACCAATCTTGACCCTGCGATCATCATCTGAGGCCCTTCTTCATATGCCTCCTCTGAGAGAGGTCTGGAGGGCGGCAACACAAGAACAGGCCTTTTCTGTGGTGACTCCTTGCTTGTGGACTCCTCTCCCCAGGGAGGCTCACCTGGTGCCTTCATTACATATCTTTAGGTGCCAAGCAAAAGCATTCCTCTTCTCCCAAGCCTTTGGCTAGTTAAACAATCTATAGCCTTTTAAAATGGCTGGGGGTATTGCTTTTGTTTGTTATTGTGGTATGTATTTTGGTGTTTTTATATTGTATACTGCCCTGTGATCTTCAGTTGAAGGGAGGTATGGAAATTTAATTCATCATCATCATCCTATATTGATATGTAGTGTAGTGATATGTGTGTGTGTGTGCGCGCGTGCAATATTTGCTTTGGAAGCATCAGACCTTAGTGTTTACATATATTCATTTCCAAAGCGATTAACATATACTTTTTATTTCAGCAATGTATGTATATACTATTTAATTACAATCATTTCTAAACAGTGTACAAGTGAAAAAACAATGCAATAAACAACAAAGCAGTTGAAACCATAATATCAGTATTCAGTTTAAATGCCTGCTGGTGTTTTTTAAGTTCAGTTCAGATCTTTCTGACCTCAGCTGGAAGGGAGTTCTATAAAATTGGGCCCACAATACTGAATGCATGACTCCTGGTTGGTATGAGTTGTGCATTCAAGCAATGGGGGACCACTAGCAGTGACTCCCTTGAATCTCTCCATGATTGGGCAGAAACATAAGGAATCAGGCAGTCCAGAACTTTCAGGTTTTAAATTCAGTAGGAACACGGATATGCCCTAAAAAGTGTGGAACTGAATATTCTGACCCGATGAGCAAGCTGAGCAACTGGTTTGGCACTGATACTTTTTGACCGCTGCCAATGAAAATTGTTTTTGCAATCATGGGAACATAAGTAAAAATAAAAGATAAGATAGTCTGCCAGAAATAAACCTCATTGGGGGCACATGCTGCCCATGACCGACAAGCGGGCAGCCCTTGTACTGGAGCCACAACATTGGCTCTTGACTCAAAACGGCCAGTCTTCAATCAACATGTCAGCCATCTGGCAGCACTGTGCTGTATCTAGGCCATTTAGAGGTAGGGAATCTCAAAGCCGAGTTTTTGTATATGTCTCAAGCCACCAGCTGTCAGCCAGAAAATCCCAAAGAGATCAGGGCAAGAGTCTCTGGTTGTGCTAGCAAAACAGTCAGTTCAACTGTCCGAATTCATTTGAAATGGAAGTTGAAAGGCCAACAGTGAAGGCTGCTCCAGTTGACTTCTGAGACTCTGACAGGTTTTAATTAGCTGAATTTCACTATCCGCCAGATGGGTAACAAACATGTATAACCCTCCAGTGTCCTTTACATGGGATGAGCATAAAAGGCCAGAAGAAAAAGACATCAATGTTCTATCAGATGCCTTAATAGTAGGTACAGAATTGATGACAGGAGAATCACAGAATCATAGAGTTGGAAGGGACCCTGAGGATCATCTAGTCCAACCCCCTGCAATGCTGCCCCATACAGGGATTGAACCTGCAACCTTGGCATTGTCAACAACACACTCTAACCAACTGAAGAAGGTGCTCTTAATTTATTATTGACTTTATTATTCGCTCTACTGTCTAAGACACTGAAAGGGTGAGAAAGGGGAAACTTTTTAACCCTTCCTTGTTTTGGCTCATAGCTGGAGCTGGGACAAGGCTCTAAGAGAAAGGGAGCTCAAATTAGAATCAGAACCTTGGAAGAAATAGCAAAGGCCACTCCCTTCCTTTCCTCTTAGGTCACTTTAAATATCATCAGAACCATGTGACAAAGTTTTCCTGGAGTGCCACACTTTATGCTATAGGGCCTAGACTCTAGTGCTTCAACATATTTGCATACAAGCTGCACACTAAAATAATAATCTAGTCAATGTATAACATTTTATTCTCCTGATTATATAAACTGTTACTCAGGGAAAACAGCAAAATAAAATACGATCCACTTCCACGTTCATAATTTCTCTAAAGCACTTTATAGATCCTTGAATGAAGTCAGGCAAATGTACTGATACAGAGACATAATACAAGATTATGTTTATTTATAGAGCCTTCCCAGTTATACACAGCTATTAATCACAGTATGTTGTAGTAAAATAGATTACAGATGGTTTTGTCAAAGGTGATACATACACCAGTGAATTATCGTTAAAGGACTTCCCAGGAAGCTGCAGTGGCAGACTTATAAAAATATGAAATCTCTATTAAGTCACTCATTAATCTTTTATAGCTACCTCTTAAAAGCAGCAGCACCGTTAATTGGTTGTTAATTATTAATTACTGTAGTACATATAATTTGGAAGGTGTTTTCTGAACAGGAAATGAGATGAGCCAAAATGCGGAACCAGGAAGAATGATCAGCAGAAGGTCCAACACTCACATGATAAATAGCCGATTGCAAACAGAGCTAGTTCTCATTGTGCTCTTTCCCACACATACCACTAAAGTGCAAGGAGAGGGAAATAGCACCAGAGCATTCTCCATTTCTCTATCTTACCCCTGCCCTATTCAGGAAAAATATATATTGTTTCATGCCACCCCAATCTCTGAGCAGTGGAAGATTCCAGGGGTCCCAGGCGCTTACCCAGAGTCTGGTTTTCTCAAAATGAGGGACAGCGGAGACTGTGGTGTCTTTATGATGGTTTATTTCCACATATATACAACCTGAGCCTACGATGGAGGTGCTCACATCATTAACACCCCAAGAAGGTCCTGCTTCTCCCATAGCCACAGCCTTGGATCCCAGCAGAAATCAGGCTTGGTTCTGTCATTCAGCTGCCTAGCCTGCTTCTAGCCACTAGCTCTGTCTCATACACACACACGTACACCTTGACTCTTGGCTTTGTCCTTCCCACTAACAGACAGTTGAGGGTGGGGGACCCACCCATTTGTGTTCTGGCACAGAGCCACTTGCTTTGTTATCTTAAGGACTCATAGTTAGGAGGCTATTACCATGAAGCTGGACTGGCTGTTCCAGCAATGGAATCCTTCGTTACATTTTAATCCTTTTGGGATCCAGGAATTCGAAGGGGCCCCACTCCAACAATATATTGACTGGCTCTCTACAATGGCTCTGGACGCTGGTGTGCCACTTACATCAGTGCACAGAAAATACAGTAATATATTCTTGGCATTACCCAACCAAGAGCAAAATCCATATGTACCACTGTTTCATCTCCATTATGTTTGCACTGATTTTACATTATTCTTACTTAAGAGATCTTGACTTAACCTTATCTGAGGCTGCAGTCCCACAATCACTTATTCAGAATAAGCCCCTTTAAATTCAACGGTACTTATTTCCAAGTAAGCAAGCAAGCATGCCTAAAATGATAAAGTATCTGGAAACCAAGCCTTATGAGGAACAGTTCAGGGAGTTGGGTGTATTTAGCCTTGATAAGAGGAGACTAAGAGGATATATGATAGCCACCATCAAATATCTAAAGGGCTGTCACATGGAAGATGGAGCAAAGTTGTTTTCTCCTGCTCTAGAGACTAGGACCCGAACCAAAGGATTCAAGTTACAAGAAAGGAAATTCTGACTAAACACCGGGAACGGCATTGTGACAGTAAGAGCTGTTTGAGTGTGGAATGGACCCCCTTGGGATGTTGTGGACTCTCCTTCATTGGAGTTTTTTAAGCAGAAGTTGGTTGGCTATCTGTCATGGATGCTTTCATTGAGATTCCTGCATTAAAGGGGGTTGAACTCAATGGTCCCCAGAGGTCCCTTCCTACTCTACAATTCTATGATAAGATTGAGCAATGTAAAGAATCTTAGGGATAGGAAATCTGTGCCAATGTTGGTGGACTCCAACTCCCATCAGCCCTAACCAACATGGCCAATGATGAGGGATAATGTAGTCCAACACACCTGGAAAGGCATAGGTTTCCTATGTCTAAGGATTTTAGACATCCCTAGTCTAAGGATTTTAGACAAATATGTAGAAGGGTAAGGCTATCCATGGCTACTAGCCATGATGGTTATTTGCTATCTGCAGAAGCATCCTCTGAATGCCAGCTACTGGGGGACAATAGTGGAAAAGGCCTGCTGTCTTAAAGCCCTGCTTGTGGGCTTCCCAGAGGCATCTAGTCTGTCACTATGGGAGATTATCAGCACCTCTGATCATTTTCAATCTGCAGGTAAGGATGCTGCTTCCCGTGTCAAGCTCTGCCAGTACAAAAGGATGATTATTTTAGCTGCAAAGTTATCACTGTGCCAAGACAAGGATAGTAGAAACATATTCCATGAGGTGCTTCCTGCTGAAATTCATTTGGCGCAGCAACTGTTGGGAATGCCCCAAGAATTTTATTTTGATGTGACAAGCCATTTGCACAAGCTTTTCATCTCCCTTCTCTTCTTTTCCACCCCCATTTTTTTAAAGGAAGCAGATGATCACCATTAGAATGAGAAAGCGCTAGATATCCATTTGTTGCAAAATGAGGGAGTTTTGTGGTATCTGAGAAATACAAGTGAAAGAAAGATTATTAAAAATAACAATGTATGTTACATCAATACAGGTCTGGCAGCATGGAAGAGACACTTTGCTGCACAAACATTACTCTGTATAAAACATAACACAGAGCAGTTCTAACTATGTGCCTATGTGCAAATGTACATTTGCTCTAATCTGTTGGTCCATTACTACAAAAATGTTGTACTTATTGAGCTACCAATGCATGCAATTAAATAAGATTTGCATGACACACATTTCAGTAAGTTCAGACAATGAAAGAACTCAGAATTCATATGCTTTTATCTATTATTTGGCTGGCAAATACTTAACATCACTTTTTCCTTGTACGGTAGCCACCATTAATCCTAAGAAGGCACCTTAAACTTGAGTAAGACTAAAAATAGCTTTGTTGGTGGTGTTCATTTATTCTAGGCCCAAGGGAGCAGAGAAATCAAGCAAATGAGAGCAAGAGCGCAAACATGCAGTGCTATATGGCTGCGCAAGTCAAAATGTCCCAAGAGTTTTATTAAAAACTTGGAGTTGCTTAAGTAACACCAATCACTGTCAATGTGCACAATTCCCTTCTTGCATTGCATTGCCTGGGAAAATATGACAGAACGTGGCCTGCCTGCACTTTTCAAGACAAATGCAAAGCTAGATTATGGAGTAGCCAGAAGGAGGGAACTCTCCTCACCCCTCCCTTAGGGTAACTGGAACTGGGTGTTATGGTCATTTTATGCCGGGCTATGCCAATGGCACTGGATCTCAATCTATTTCCAGGCCAATTCATCTCCTTTCTCTGCTCAAGCACGTTACAGCTTAGGGCACTTGAAGGGCAGCCTGTGTCCTTACATATCTACCTACAAACCCCAGGTAAAGGAACAGTAACAATAAGGAGGCTGGAATAATACACTTGGCACTAGCATTGGTAGGCCTTGCTGGGTCCTCAGAGTCCAGGCATTTGCCCAGTGATGCCGAAAGCTGACACCAGGGGTGTGTGTGTGTGCATGCATAGTTTTGAAGAGTCAGCTCATGAGTTTTTGCTTTTACCAGTCATAGCTGACAGAAGGGGCAAAGGAAGGAAGTTGAAGTGCACAGACACAAGATACCCGATGCTTTGCCAAACCATCATCAGCCCTTCTTGAGCACCACCACATGGAGCAACAGCAACAAAAAGAAAATATGCTATATGCACTAAAGAAAAAGGAAAAAGGGAGAAATTGACAGCCCACACTCATTATACCCTTTCAGCTGCTAGCTTGTTAACCAGCCTGTTTGCTGGATTTTCTGAGTCATGCAGTAAAATGAAAGGGGTCTCTTTGGATGTCTGCTTGATCCTCCACTTTGGCCGGGAAGGTTTGATAATAGCTTTGATTAGTCATGAAAGACTTCGGCAGAATTTGTTTTGTCTTTGTCCTCCTGCAGCACCAAGGGCTTAATTTCAGAAATTGCTTGTTTGCGTAAAGCGTGGGATTTGGGACCAGATGAGTGGGACCTGGCATGCAAAGTCTTGCCTAGTCATCTTCCCTTCCTGCTGCTGCCATCATGTCCATCAGCCCCCTCTCATCGTGAATAGAGATTATGATTATGAGAAACTTGCATATCCTATGTGTGTCAAAGGAAATTTCCTTCTCTTTCAGGAATGTTCTCAACAATTTGACTCTTTTGTGCTATTATTATTATTATTATTTAGCAGAATCTGTATTCTGTTAAATATAAAGCTCATTCAGTTGCTGGAAATGGCAGGAGGTGAGGGGGCTCTTGTGTTCAAATCCTTCTTGCTGGTTGGCTACTGTGAGAACAGGATATTGGACTGAGGTGAGCCATTGGCCTGATCCAACAGGCTCTTCTTCTGTTCTTATGTAAACCATAACCCTAAAATATGCAAAATATAAATAAATGAAACCTGCTGTTAAAAATATACATTATCAAAGAAAACCACGTGTTAAAATATAGGTCAGCTTTACCTTTATCTGGGTAGCCTTGCCTAAACAGAGATATTTTTTTTAAGCAGGTGCTGAAAACAGAACAGAGAAAGTGCCTGCCTAATGTAAGTCTGCTTTGGCCCGCCAGATGTTGGTGGACTACAACTCCCATCAGTCCAAGTGAGAATAGTTAATGGTCAGGCATGGTGGGAGTTGTAGTTGAGCAACTTCTGATTAAAAGTCCTCCATCCCTTTGCTAGAGGAAACTTAGTTGATCTAGATTGTGGGGGATCATAAGGAAGCAGCATCTAAAGGAGAGAATATTGTGTAGTGACTAAGACAGATAGGAGAACTAGGAATGACCTTGTAGTAGAAATGAAAAAGAAGAAGAATCACAGAATTGTAGAGTTCGAAGGGACCCCAAGGTTCATCTAGTCCAACCCCCTGCAGTGCAGGAATCTTTTACCCAACATGGGGCTCAAATCTATGAAATTGAGAGCCTCATGCTCTACCAACGGAGCTGTCAAGGAGAAGGAGGAGGCAATTCTTGGAGAGTCAAAGAAGAATGAAAATTTAAAAAATAAAAAATCAGAAAATGGAAACAGCCCTCTCATTTAACTGAATCAGCTTGGATAAATGAATAGTGTTTCATTTGGGAGTGGGAGAAAGTGGGTGGGAAACCCTGGCATGTCCTGCCAGTGTATATTTCATGTTGATGGCAATGTATCTCACTTTCTCCTGGCATAGTGGGGTCTCCACCAACTTCAATTGGCTCTCATCTGGTGTAACTCAAGTATCGGGTTACTTTGTCAACTGAATTTAACTTGTGGTTCCAGCAGTCAATTGCTGGTAAAGTCTAAAGATAAAACACTAGCCAAATGCAGCTGATGAGAGGCAAACATGCAGGAATACTAGAACAACAAAAGTGTTCTCATCACTGACCAGCTAAACAAAGTAAGAATTTAAAATAAGCTAGAGGGTGTTTGCTAGGCAGGTAGATGATGGAACGGGAAGGAATCTTGCACATTTCTTAACACATGTATAATGCAGTTGGGAAAACAAGATCTGCTGAGGACAAACTGTTCTGCCTTCCTCTTCCCACTCATAAGATGGCACAAGAAATGTGTTTAAACTGAAGCGATGCTACATGTAAAAGAAAAATCTCTTGTAAGAAGCACTTCGTGGGACAGGATCAGTGAAGGGGTGGTGGGGGTGGAGGGGTGGTCTTTTCATTTTTGAGCTGACAGTGCTCCCTCCAAGGCTGGCTATGAATCAGGGCTGGGCTGCCACAATTGGATCCATCTGCTCAGGATGCTTTTTGATTTTAGCCTGAAGAGCTCTGCGATCAAAATTGAGGGATGTTTTGTGTGCCATGTCATTTCTATAGGAAACTCTAGCAAAGTCTGCCCTCTGTACGCACATCTATTTCAGCTCTTATACAAGGAAGCAGGAATGGAACAATTTGGTGCTATTCAAAAGCTTGCTCGCTTTCAAGAAGAGAAATACTGGGCTATTTCTTGGAACTGAGAGAGAGAGAGATATTAAAAGAAAATATGCACAGCTGACTGCCAGAAAAGTTGACCTTGCATCCTCTTGCTTATACCTCAGCTGTTTTCTTGTTTTTTAAAAAGCCACAGTCTGAATATAAACATATTAAACAGAGCAACTGTCTGTGGTTTCCTGGTCTGAGGTAAAGGTGGTAATAGAATACTGGAAGAAGATTGATGGGGTTTGCTTAAGTGTTGCACATTTTTGCATAGAAACTAGACCTGCCTGCTAGGAAAATAATGAGAAAACATCTTTGTTAAAGAAGGTTACTTAGGTGCAGTTCTGCTGTATTAAAGTGCTAAGCTTTCTGCCTTCAGGATACACATCAACTTGTCCATCAAGGAACCCCAAAAAGTGTCAGGGATTGGCAGTGCTCTGGCAAGTGTGTGGCAGAAGCAGGGGGCCAAGAGGCTGACCCAGGAGAGGGAGTCAGTGACTTATGGGGTTTGGTGCCACCTGAAAAAAACTGGTGTGGGAGGGGTGTGCCAAATGTTGGGACAACATCTTAGATCATGCCTAGCCCTGTATCCTTAGACTTCTGCTTGTAGACACACATTTGTGAATCTTATACTTTGAACTGATGATGAGACAGTGTACTAATTTCTTTAAAAAAACCCTTTGTGTTTCCTCAAGCCAAGAATCCAAGTAGTGTGTCAGAGGGTGGGCAATTCAACAGGTTAAAACTTTTCTAGTATGGAAATACAATTATGGGGAAAGCTTTACTATGTCTGCACTGTCTAATTTTGTGCTATGTTGTAACTGTTGCACACAGCACTCTCCCCAAATTAACACTGTAGAGTGGTTCCAAAAGTTTGCTATAATCAGTTCATCTCACTGTTTATAGCTTGTAGCCATATATATCTTGCTTTTTGATATTGAAATATTCAATAAATCTTCTTTGAAAAGAAAAAAA